GGTATGTACTACCTCGAGGCTGCGAAACCACAGTTGGACTGGGATAGAAAGGTATTGATTCACAAGTTGCCCAACGGTAGATCTGTTAGATTGCAGAAGTTCAAAGCTAGCAGTCTAATAGAAAACTACGGGTGCATGTGTGCATCATCTTTCTATAACTATTATAAACAGAATCGCGAGGAAGGCATGTATCTAGTTTTTGTCTCTGAGAAAGGGGAGGCCGTAAAATCACCCCCAGAGATAGAAAAAGTCGTCGCTCAATATTCAGACCTTTTTGAGGAGCCCACAGGCGTGGTGGAAAGGGAGGTGGTCCATGCAATAGAGGTTGTCCCAGGTAGTAAGGTGCCTAGAGGATGAATCTATAGGATGTCTCCTGCGGAGTTAGATGAGCTTCGCCGCTAGCTTAAAGAGCTCACAGAGAAGGGATGGATACGGCCTAGTACCTCCCCTTACGGTGCGCCAGTCTTATTTGTTCCTAAGAAGGGAGTTCCATTAAGGATGTGCATTGACTATAGGGGCCTCAATGCCATCACCGTAAAGAACGCAGAGCCCCTACCCAACATTGACGACCTCTTGGATAGAGTGCAGGGATGTCGGTACTTCACAAAGATAGATCTGAAGTCCGGATACCATGAAATTGCCGTTAGGCCTGAGGACCAACACAAAACCGCATTTCAGACTAGGTACGGTCTGTACGAGTTTGTGGTGATGCCTTTTGGCCTATGCAATGCGCCTGGTACGTTCCAGCACGCGATGAATAGGATCTTTCATGACCACTTGGACAAGTTAATCGTCGTGTACCTCGATGATATTCTCATCTTCAGTAGGACTGTAGAGGAGCACGCTGAGCACTTGAAAATAGTGCTAGGTCTCCTAAGACAGCACCAGTACAAGGTAAACTTGGATAAATGCGAGTTTGGTCGCACCAAGATCTTGTACTTGGGTCATGAAATTTCAGCAGATGGATTGAGGCCGGAAGATGCGAAAGTGGCCAGCATACGTGACTGGCCCAGACCTCAAACTGTTACTGAGGTCAGATCNGAGGCCGGAAGATGCGAAAGTGGCCAGCATACGTGACTGGCCCAGACCTCAAACTGTTACTGAGGTCAGATCGTTTTTGGGGATGATGGGCTACTATCGTCCGTTTGTGAAAAACTATAGTACTATAGCTTCCCCATTGACAGATCTTACTCGACTTGACACCCCTTGGGAGTGGACTGAAGAGTGTGAGGCAAGCTTCAAGCAATTGAAGTATGCTCTAACACACTATGAAGTTCTCAAACTTCCCGATCCTGACAAGCCCTTTGTCGTGACAACAGACGCCAACCAATATGGCATTGGCGCTGTCCTTGCACAACAGGAGGGGCCAAAGTTGAGACCGATCGAGTATATGAGTAAGAAGATGCCTTCCAAGAAGCTAGCTGCGTCCACTTATGAAAGAGAGCTCTACGCCCTATATAGAGCGCTAGTTCATTGGCGACATTACCTCCTAGGGAGATATTTCTATGTGAGGTCTGACCATGAGACTCTACGCTGGATTAAGACGCAGCCCGTGTTGTCTGACGCACTCAAGAGATGGATTCAAGTGGTAGATATGTATGACTATCAACTTGATCCTATCAAAGGTCCGTACAACAAAGTGGCAGATGCGTTGTCAAGAAGGGCAGACTACCTAGGCGCACTAGTAATTGAATTCGACATATCTAATGATCTTACTCGATCGCTGGTGGAAGCCTATCAAGGAGATACAGTTATGTCAGAGATCATTCGTAAATTCCAAGCGAAGGACAAAAAGACTTTGGACGAATTTACCATGGTAGATGGCTTGCTGTTCCTTGAAAAGGCAGGGTTTAAAAGACTGTGTCCCGGATAGTGAGTCTTTGCGTAGTTTATTTTTAGGAGAATGTCATGATGCTGTAGGTCATTTTGGTTATAAGAAGACATCARCAAACYTAGTAYARAAGTTTTGGTGGCCTTCTATGATGAAGGATGCAAAACTGTATGTCGAGACTTGTCAGGTTTGTCAAAGAGACAAACCCAGGACTCAGGCTCCGCTTGGGCTGATCAAGCCCTTGCCGATTCCTGAAGGTCCATGTCAGAGTGTCTCCATGGATTTTATGGACACTCTTGTGACCAGCAAAACCGGCAAACGACACATATTCGTTATAGTAGATCGCTTTACTAAGTATGCCAGACTTATCGCTATGCCGGAGACAACAAAGACAGATCACGTCATCAAACTGTTTATGGATAACTGGGTAAGGGATTTCGGTCTACCTACGTCTATCTTAAGCGACAGGGATGTAAGATTTACCAGCGAACTGTGGCAGTCTACAGCTGAACAGATGGGAACCAAGCTCCAGATGACATCAGGGAATCATCCTGAGTCAAATGGACAGGCAGAACAGATGAACCGAGTGGTACAGCATTTGCTCCGGCACTACATCAAGCCAAGTCAGGATGACTGGGACGAGAAGTTACCTCTCGTCGCCAGCCTGTATAATAACGCAGTGCACAGTGCTACCGGAATGACTCCCAACCAACTGCATCTTGGTTGGAAGCCTAGAACTGCCTTGGACTTCTTACTACCGGAAAGAGAATCCACTGCAGCACCTGGCAGCATAGAGTGTGCTGTTCAGTATGAACAGATGCTGCAGCAAGCCGTAGAGCACATTAGAAAAACTCAAGATGCAATGATAGCATCTGAGAATAAGCATAGACGGCCTTCTAATTTCCAGGTAGGTGACAGTTTGGGTAAAAGCATCTGAACTTGGTCAGGAGCTAGGAATCTCTAGAAAATTGATGCCACAATTCTTCGGTCCGTGGGAGGTCCTAGAAGTGATAGGAGATCAACCGGATGGGCCATCCTATGTGATTCGCATCCCACCCCATCTACGCACCTACCCTGTATTCCATGCTTCAAAGTTGGCACCTTTCGCTGCTACTGAGCAGTTTCCTTCCAGGAGATCAATGCTGCCCCCAACCATGGAT